CAACAAGATCTTATTAACATGGTTTTCAATGTGTCTCCTTACAAAAAGTCCAACCAATGAACAAATGTGTATATTTGTGGAGGCCGAACAAAAGCATGACACATTTCAGTGTCTCAGGACTGGACACCTTTAAACATGTAGAGGATCAAACAGCCGTCCACAAATGCTAAACATACATGAAACTATCAAAGCTGAGAATCATTTCATTCCAATAACATCTAATGGTACATATATATAGACACAAAAGCTGTTAGGATTTGGCTTCCTAAGCAGTTGGGATGCACTCTGTTGGTTTCTTCTGACTGGGGATGACCACTTCAGCCCAGGACCATTGATGTGTGGTGTGGAGCAGGAGGAGGGTGAGGACAGGTGGGCGGAGCCACACAGCTCTGTCCTGGAGTAGTGATGGTAAATTTGATTCTTTTTCTGAATCGAGTTTTAATGAGTCACTCACCAAAGTGAATCGGGTTGTTTTTAAGTCATTTGATTCACTGAGTCAGCTGACAACAGATGTCAGCCTAATGTGTACCTTAATCAAGCCATGCAATAACAACATGTGCCAGAACATGCAAAACAGTGCAAAAGTAACATGCCGAAACTGTCATGGTGCTGGGTCGTTGACCCAGCGTTTTGAGTTTTGTGATTGTTTTCCTCTGTTCTAGTTATTCTGTGTCCTCCCTCCTTGTGTCCGGTTCGGGTTCTAGATTTCCTGTTTTGTTCTGAAGGTCTCTGTCTGTTGTCATTGTGTTCAGCTTGTGTCCTCCGGTCATCATGTGTATTGGGATCAGCTGTTCTTCCCTCCTGTGTGTGATTACCCGATTACCTTGTGTGTGTATATTTAGTGGGTGTTGGTCTGTGTTCGTTGTCGGCTCGTCTGTGTTTCTCGGTGTAACTACGTCTCTTTGCATTCTCCGCTCTCCGTCTCATGCGTAGGTTTGTCATTTAGTTTTCCCAGTCTAGGTTTTGTCAGTCATCTGCTGCATTTTGGGTCCTTTTCCTCCTACACCACACGGCTAACCCCGCCAGCCGTGACAGAAACTCTGTTCAGACAGTGAATGGACTGATTTTTATATAGCGCTTTTCTACTCTCCCACATTACTCAAACTGCTCTATACAACATGCCACTTTTGCTTAACTGAGTGCTTCCTAACTACATTCATACACATTCACACTCTTGAGATGCAGACTGGAGGAGCCAGAGATCGAACCACTAACCCTCCGATCAGTTTGTAACTGCTCTACCACCTGAGATATGGCATGCCATCGCATAAACAGTGGCGTCATTGCCAGACCTGGCACACATCTGGTAGACATACACTCTGCCAAAA